TATGCAAAATGATTACGAGTTTTCGACGAATATAAAATAAAATTAGTTATCACATTATTCATAATTAAAATATATGAAATATGTATTTAGCGCGGAGCCGCGACCAATCAACCACGCATATCTCGAAACCTATTTAATGTACCAACTTTAGATTTTGGTAACATTTTTGGTAAGGTACAATAACAATGTGTGCCGAGTTTCGTCAAAATCGAATTATGGTCTTTTGAGAACATATCATCTGTTTATATATTAGTACATATATAATCTTATGTAATTTTTTACATAATCATCTTGCATCTTTCCGATAAGCATTTTTCGGATTAAAATTGTTCTTCATATAATTATGTTCAAAATTACATCACATGCATCTTCTCTTGTTATCATCGTTAAGAAAATCAAATCAAATATTTTTGTTGCGCTTACTACATATTTATCGACATCTAATCTTGTGTAATTTATTAGTTTAGTCAAAAGATAAGATAAAGTGTCATTCTTACCTGCAATATCCCATAGTGGAGACGCACCACGCTGTCGCTGTCCCAATTGAGAACCTTCAAGGCAAAATCAACACCGATGGTGGCCCGATAGTGTTGACTGAAGAACTGGTGCACGTATCTTTTATTATACTAGTTTTCCCTGTGCCCAATTCACCGATTACTAAGATTTTGTACAAATACTCCTTCGTTCATTAGATTTAATAGACTGTAAGGAATAAAAGAAACAGGTAAATATTCAGATCGTTTGAACAGGTGCTAGTAAGTGAATAGTGGAGTTATATCCAAACAACATTGTTGCTGAGTGTACCGGCAATTCATGTAATAATTTATCAAAGACAATTAATAATTACTTATTTAGTAATTAGAAGCAAAATATATTAAGCCATATTAGGTAAATATTCATATCGACAGGTGCTATTCGTATTATTTGTTGTTAGAATAAGTAATTGAATAGTGCAGTTATATCCAAACAACATCGTTCTATAGTGTACCGGCAATTTATGTAATAATTTATCAAAGATAATAATTACTGATTTAGTAATTAGAAGCAAAATATATTAAAGCCTTATTATGCAATAAAAACCGTTTCGTTTAATGATTTGTTCAAGCATTGAATTAATAAATTAGCGTTTGGTAACGGTTGTTCATAAATGTATAAATCTAGTTTTAACTGGTTGTAAAATTATATGACGTTAAAAGCCCGACTATAAATTGTAAATTATTCAATTGATAAGAAAAATACAATTGTAATTGTCACCGCGTGAGTGACTTGTCTCGTAAATCCACGATGTAGTAATAAACCACCATCACGTCTCGACATATATTGTTTGCAAAGATAAATTTTGCACCTTCTGTATGTTCATAAAATTATATCTTATGAGTCACTACAAGCATAATATACATCAGAGTAATGAACTTAAAAATAATCTTAATTACCATTATAGTAGATTTTTTAGTCTCTTTGATTTTAGAAGAATCAACTACATCAGTTTTTATAGAACCGTTCGTTTTTGCACTATGATTATTATTTTTATTCACACCATTTTTTAGTCTGCCATTGTTCTTATGCACTAAATCGTTCACTTTAACATCCAAATGCACAAATCCAAAATCTTGAGCCGCTGTGTCAATATCCTTTTTATTTAAGTCCGCTTTTGTCTTTTGATTAAATGGTTCAAGTTGATTTTCGTCCTCGTCGTCTTCCGCGATACTGCTGGATGATGAAAAGGATGACAAAGAATCAGGAAACGCGTCTCTTGAAGTGATCGAACCGTAGGCATCGAATGGTTGTGAAGCACGTCTGTGGGCAAGTAAACTTTCCTGGTTCAACACCATCTGTAGTGATTTCAAGGAGTTCGAGCTGTAAGAAAAATTCAGTCGTTTCCGAAAGCCTCGTTCCATTCTCATCTGCTGCGCATGCATCGACAATATCCTTGGCGGGCTTTTAGATTTCGATCTTCCTAAAACCATGTTTTCTGTCGGTTTCGGAGCCATATTGCTGATATCTTGCCGGTACCTTACTCGAATACTTCTATAACCAGCACCTCCAAGACAATCGGCTACTGATTCCGGTTCGGAATCCAGGTCTCTCATAGTTGGCCGGCTGATGTAGACTGACTGACTATTTTATCGTTCGGTAAACAATCGATATTGAGGCTATTGTTTCTTAAAGAGTGGGGATGTGTGGATTACGTGATTTAAACACGGCATATAACAAAACTGTCAACATTCACCTTTGTTATCATAATTTTCAAGTAGGATCCTTTAAAATTCTAAACCACAACATACTAAATTTATTTCACACTTAGGTATCAATTAGATGATTACCTTATTAGTCCTTTTGAGAGATATGTAATAATGTCAATACTTGCTATATGATTACTCGTCACCTCATTAAAACTTCTCATGAGAATTCATAATCTGCCTCCAAACTAAAAATAAAAGGACAATACGTCAGTTCCTTTTGATAAAAGATTTTGTGGAGGTTAGGTAAAGAAGAAGCATGTTAATTGTTAATAATCAAAGTTATAACACCTAAATTTATGTTTAAGCATTTTCGATTAAAAATTCTCATGATAAGTTTATACATAAAAAGCCTTTAACTATATTTATCCCGTCATCCATAATTTTGATCGTCATAATATTTAAGATGACCTGTATGTTTAATGCTATCGAAATTATTAAAACACGTTCGGTATCATTCATAAATAATTTGTCAAAATCAAAACATTTACACAGCAAAATTAATTTATGTAAACATTCATATTTTGATACTACTATTTTCACCGATGTTATCACAAGATATATTTCATGTCTGAACTCAAAATAAACTTAAATATGTTTTTTTTTATTAATTTAAGAAGAAGAAGCGCAGGCTTCCTTAATGTCGTCTATTTTAAGCAATTAAAAATTTGTATGAAATGTAAACAGATAAGAAATGTCACAAACATTCACTCACAACTAAATGCTCTTTGCTCTACGTCGATATTGCACGTCGTTTGCTGACAATTCATTGAGATTATAAATCGGATAAAACTTGATTTTTTTATTTATACACGATAACAGAACTAGATCACCAGTAGCATAAAAAACTACGCAACTACATATTAAAATAAAAAAATACTAAAAATATTCATATGAAAAAAATTAAAGAAAATAGAATCATACGAGTGCGGATAATAAATTTAAATCGTAATAATTAGGAGAAATGAGTTGTAATTGTAATAAATAAATTAAATAGATAAATAACTTTTTTTTGTTATATGTATTTAATTTTCTAGACTGTTCAAATAAATTGCTGTTGCTAATAAAAAATAATCTAGAACCTAACAAACTGATAGATTTTTTATAATAAAGGGCAATTTTATATGTAATTTCTTTTCATAATCTCTTATACCAGACACCCCTGCCTGACTGAGATATAATAACAATATATAAATAAATAAAATAAATAAAAAAAATGTCGATTATTTATTAATTTACAATTAATTGTAATCATTCAAATATCGAAATTGAAAATTGGATATGTGTGTGTGTATGTATGTATGTAAGGATACAATTTTTTGTCCAAAACGTTCGATTCCTATTGATAGGGAGATATGCTGATTAATTTTTGGCAAAAGCAGGTCCATCTGTTTCGGAGATGCAGCGAAGAGTGCAGAAAATAGAAATCGTGTTTCTGAGAGAACGAAGCATTCGATCAAGAAAATATTCAATTCGTAATGATTGGGAGAAAAGGTGATTAGATTTTGGCAAAGGCAGGTCTAATCGTTTAGGAGATTTGAGAGAATTGAGCATCCGATTTGAAAGATTCAGAAAACCTGCTTATGCCGATGAAACAATTGCTTTTGAAAATAGATTTTTCTCATGTTTTTTTTTTAATTTAAAAAAAAACATTTTTTATTTTTTATTACTAAATTTTATTGTTTGAATACTTCATTATAGTACTGGAAGTTTAATTGTAACTGCATACTTAAGCATCACAAATTAAAAAAATGCACAATTTTTTTTAGAAAAAAATGCGCGTTAAAAACATTGCAATATTATAAGAATGCAATGTGATAACAGGATGGATAGATAAATAAAAAAACATTCTGCTAGATGAAAACTTTGTAATTTTTTTGTCATTTCATTTTGAATCATTTGTATGTTATACGTCCCTGATATATTTGAATTATTAATAGATAAAATCGTCACGATAATTATAAATTAAATGTAAATAAGGTGTTTGTTGCCTCAATGTAGGAAAATATCTATGAAACTAGAATAATAAGTCTAGGGAGATTCCTCGGATCCGATAAGAAAACGACGTGGAAATGTACACGTAGCCTGGTTATCAAAATAATTGTTGAAAGCCAAATATTACTTAAGAACCGTAAAATAATGACAAAAAATAATATGCTTAGACTTGTATATGAAACACTTAATAAAACGCCATTTTTGGTTAATTTTCTATGAAGTCTCTTGTTGTTTTTTTACGTGTCATTAACCTTTGAACTTAGTTTCAAAAATAATTATAGATGTAAAATTTTGATCTCATTAAATTTAAATACAAAATGATTTATAACAAACATAAATCGCGCAAAATGGTTTTTGTTAGCTTTGCAATAAAGTCTAGCCAGCAACAATGTATAAAACAATTCAAAATAACTTGTACAAATAAGTCTGAATGATAAGCAAATGAAACTTCACTAAACAGATACGCATAAAATCTTTTAATTGTACCTGTGATTAATTTACAGACTAAAATTTGCATTTGTAAATAGTAATAATTTATTATATATATACATATATCAATTTTGAAATATCTAAATGCGGAACGACAACGTCAGTTCTTTCTAATTGCAAATTCGATAACTAAGACAAAATAAATATGAAATTTGATCTGAAATTCTAATTAACATGCATAGTTAACCTTTTATTATTCGATAGAACAATTCTAATTTAACAAATAGTCGAATATGGACACATGATTTTATATCTTACATTAAAGTAACACGTGTAGTTCTGTTTTTGAATTACAGAATTGATTTACGTTTGGAACAAATAAGGTGCTCGATTATGATAAAAAAATGATAAAGGATTATAGACATATTTATTTTTCGATTATGTGATAAAATCTTATTGATAAAAAATATATTGTTAAAAATGCACACAATACAAATTGAAATCTGTAAACAAATAATTAAGTCACAATTTGAAGATTCATTACTCGATGCGATATATTTTATGTGGGATTAATATTCTAATCCCATTTTAATAAATAGTTATAAGTAGTTGATTTATATTTAGATTATAATAGACTTAAGTTTATTAGTTAAATTTTCTATTATTTATTTTTGTGTGTTCTAATTATTCATAGTTTGTTCATTGATTTGATTTACTAAAGGGTAATAAATCTCCTTTGAAATCCATTCTAATTATATCAACCATTCCAATACCAAATGTATATTATAAGACAGGTTTTTTTTGATATTAGAAAAAAATTGGTAAAATATAATTTTGTTCATCAAACTTTGAGAATATTTCTAGATATCTCATAACTGTTGTTTATTATTAAATTAATTATATATTCTATAAGATGTTTATGTAACATTACTTAATCATCGCGCAAATATACTATTATTTTTTGAATTGAACTAAATAAAATTATTTTTAGGCACTTAAACTTAATTTAAGATATGAATGTAATGTTAAATTAATGAAAGCATAGATATTTAAAATATTAAAAAATAATTTGTGTTTTAGTACCTAAGCTGTTTTAGTACTAAAGCTATACAAAATCTTTCAATCCTTATATTTAATTAATGCATATGAGATGCACCAAACGATCCCAAATCACTTTATCAAATCGATGTATTCTAATCACATATATCACACAAACACTTGAAATTTAAATATTGATTTATCACACACTAAACCAAATGGAAAACTATCAAACTATTCCACTAATAACAAAATTGCCTATGTGATCTATCGAACACTCTGGCTAACACTATTGTGCAAAATTGTGTGCAAAACTTCTTTATCGGAGAGAGGAAACGCAATGTAAATACGCCTGAACATTGAACAGATACAAACAATTGTTCTATTTATAAAATCAAAAATTGTAAATCGTATTTTATAATAAGATACGCAGATACTATAACTTCAAAACGAAAAAAATTAAAAGAAACAAAATTGGTGATCCAGATTATAATTGAGCATTTCATAAAAAAATGCGGTTTTGCCTAACCTTGTGTAGGTTTATATATTATATTTTTAGTAAATAATATAAATACACAATAAAATTCAAAATGTGTGAATTTTTTTGTTAAACCAATTCACAATTACGATTTGCTAAAAGATTAATTTCCTTTAATTTTTTTTTTGTTACAATTTATTTTTGTTAATCAAGACATTTACTTTAAATGATATCCAAACGTAATTTTTTTTATTGTATATTTTGTTATTGAAAACAAGTTTGCTGGTAATTTCAATATTGATTTTTATTAAATTTGGCTTTATGATTTGCAATAAAAAAAAACTAAATTATACGCGAATTTATTGTTGTATTTTTTAATATTATAAATAAATCCATATTTAAATTGAATACTTAATTGCATTGCTACATCAATAATTAGAATTATCTGCCATGTATATATAGAAAAATTTGCAGTATACGAATTACACATTACAAACGTCAATACAATAGTAACATGAATAATTGAAGTTTTATGCAAGTATAGATGACAAATACGAATTGCAATACCTGCATAATGACATGTTAACTATAAATATAACGTAGAAATTATCTTACATTTGTGTGCACAACATTATTTCACAAAACAAATTACAAGATGTATGTCTTGTTAATGAAGAATCTCATTAATTTTAAATTCATCATAATGATTCATAAATCTATTATAAAATATCAACACCGTCGAGGTGTTCAAACATCAATCTAATCTATTTGTGATAGTTTTTAGATGAATATTTTGTTGAATATGATAAAAATAGTTGAAACAATGATATCTTTTAATAAATCAAATAAGATTACTTTTAATAATGATAAAATTTTTTATTAGATTCAAGCACTAATACTTTTTTCGATAAATATTTTATTAATATATTATACGATATAATTTTTTTTTATATATCAAAAATTATAAATTTCTATAAGCTATTATGCAAAGTATACGATATAAATAGATTTGAAAATAGTTGAAATGTTAATCAAATATTATACTACTTTTAATAATAACTCAAAAATATTATATAAAACTATATTATAATGATAATTTTTAGATTTAAATATAATATAATAAATTTTAGACTGAAAAACCTACAAATTTGATGGAAATTCAAAAACTTTATCTGCTAAATCTTTTTTCAGGAACATTACAGGTAAATTAATTGTATATCTACATATTGAAAACGTATTTATATTATAATTGGAGTATTATAGCATGTTAATTGCCATGATAGTAACAGAAAATTTTTCACGTGGGTGGTAACTTTATCAGATAATTTAGACAAAAATGTATCAAGGAAACTTAATTTATCAGAGAAAAAAAATTGGCAAAATTCTATAGCCTTGTCAGTCTTATATGTACGACAAAAACATTGTTTTCCCAGAAATTTTGACAATTTTTTGTTTTTTTTTAAACATCTGATATAAGTCTCTTTCAATAAAATCCACAAATCTCATAATAATATAATTTATATGAAAATAATAAAATAAAAATTACCTTTCACTTAACACATTAATCGCAACAATAATATTTCATTCGCATTTTTTCACATGGTAATTTTATAATATAATTTAGTTTTAGTTTAAAAATGTATCAAGGAAACATGATGTATCAAAGAAAAAAAATGCCAATATTCTTGGAAAAATGACATGGCCTTATAATAACACTTTCTTCATAAACTTTGGCAGTCTTATATGTGTGCCAAAAAAGTGCTTTTCTAAAAATTTTGGCAACATCTTTGTTTTCTTCGTATCCTTTGGTACAAAACACCTTCAATAAAATACACAATTTTTTTGAAAAATATATTATTTATAAAAAATAGTGAAATGTATTGGATAAATATAAAGATAAAAAAAAATTAAAATGACTTAATTATAAAAATAGCTGATTAATTTTCCACATGAGTCATGGTAAATTTATCCAATAATTTAGTTAAAAAATATAAAACTTAATGTGTTAAAGAAAAAAATAATGCAAAATTATTGAAAAACCACTATTTTTATGCCACACATGTATAACTGATATGGTCATTTATTAAACCGTTTTTTCCACTAAATCTCGTATATCAGACATATATCATCTCTGACATAGCTCATGAAGAACTTCTTAGCATCAGACATATATGACTGGTAAAAGAATAAAGTGTTCACATGTGGATAAGATAGTGTGATAGTATTACGATATATGGCTCATGTAGAACTTCTACATATGATTGACATAGCGATCAACGTGTTAAAAGAGTAAAATGTGTATAAGATAGTGTGGTAGTATTATCCTTTAGACTTACCATCGTGTAAATCCTACTGCAAAGTTCCTCCTCAGAAGCACTCGTGATAATTTTCCGATGCCTGGAGGTAACAGTAGACCTGATCACGGCACACATGCAACTGTCGTCGTTCACAGATAAACTGACTAAAAGTTTGTTTTCGAAAAACGTTTTACTACGATAATACCGATATGTTGACAATTTCAAACGAGTCGGTCATCTTCGAGCTGGTTCGTCACTCGGTTGACAATTCACCCAATTCCGAACGGACTGTTTGCGGAAACGACGACGCTTCTGTCCGACACTCGATTGATATGATGGGACAGGGATTGGTGATGAAAAATTCCCCAAATGGAAAGAACTTTCTGAAATTATAAAAGTTTTTTTTCAGACTTTGTTAGCAGGAAATGAAATCGTTTATTTGATATAAATTTTGACTAATTGGTTTGAATAAAATCACACTTATTAAGCACCCGTTTTTGGATAATTTTATAGTCCTAGAAACAGATATTAGAGTGCTAAAAAAACAAATTTTGTTGTATGAAAAGTAATTTTGTAATTTTTTTTAAAAATATTTTTTTTGTAATTCTAAATATAATAAAAACTTTTTTCGATACCGTGTTTATCTTCAGTGTTCATATCTCAATATTATTAACTTCCCGTAGGGTAAGTTATTGTAATCGTCCACAAATCGAAATTGAAATTTTTTACATTTCTTCACGTTTTGAAGGTTCCTGAACATTTTTGCATACTTCAAAAAAAATGGGTGTGTGTATGTATGTATACAATTTTTTGTCCACGTTTTCGGACGCACGGATCAACCGATTTGAATGGTACAAAACGTATTCGTATCCTATTTATAGGGAGATGTGCTAATTAGTTTTTGGCAAGGGCAGATCCAGCCGTTTCGGGGACAGGGAGCAAAGAGTGCAGAAAATAGAAATCAAGTTTGTGAGAGAACGGAGCATCCGATTTGAATGATCTAAAAAACATTCAATTCGTAACGACGGGGAAAAGTGGTGATTGGATTTTGGCAAAGGCATGTCCAGCCGTTTTGGAGATACCGAGCTAAATATGCAAAAAATTCAAAAGCAAAATGCAAAAGATTCAAAAAACTTTTCGCTTGTTTTGACAAAATAATTGCTTTTGAGAAAAAAATGTTTTCAAAGTTTTTTTTCTCCAATTTTTTTTCTCAAAAAAATTTTTTGCTTGTTTATCGAAAATATTTCAGATTTTAATTTTAATTCTGGCTAAAATTCTAAAGCTCACTTATATACTTTATACAAATAATTTTAACTTTGTAAATCCGTTTATATAACTATTATAAATATTAGACAATGTTACAGTATTTATAATAATCTATATGAAAACATTTAATATTTCTCGAGTATTTCTTTACGGTACGGGAAGTTCCAGCAATTTGCCTTAAGGCACGATGCCATACACTTGTCTAATTTTTATATTCAACAATTGTTCATTGGCTTGACGTTGAGTTCTGGGGCACTCTGTATATATATTTATAATAAATTGTATTACATGCGAAAAATTTTACGACTCCATCATTACTTTGTTGATAAATATAATCGATTCAAATCAGATCTGTTTTGCATTTTTAATACCGCTTTTATACTTTTAACTTTTAATGCCAAACTTATATGCAACAATTTAATATTATACTTTTGATACTTACTAAGTAACTTTTATACTTTTGTTAGTAAAGTTTTTCATTTACAATTTTTTTCAATCACTTTACCATCGAAAGAAATAATTTTTTACTTTGAACAATTGAAATATGACTGACCAAAATTGATATTTATATAGGTACATTCTCTAAAAAGTTTTTTTTTCTAATTTTAATGTTTTAAACGTAAAAAGGGAATTCTTTCAATATCTAATTATTTAAAGTAATAATATAAAACTAATTGTTTGTGTGTTTTAGCAGTTTCAGAAGTTTTTCTTTAATGATATCATATTCTCAATATCCTTATAAAAATCAATATGTATGAAAAAAAACATAAAAAAATGTTGGAAAAATGGAGACGTTAAAGTTCAGTAAAATAAAGTCATTTATATATAGTTGAAAATGAACATCACCAACCAATTAAACACTGATTCAAATTTTAATAAAATTAAAGTTTGTCAAATAAATAATATTAATACTAAAATGTTTGTAATTTACAAATTAAAAAACAGTTTAATAAATAACGACAACATTGAAATTTATTACAATTTTCTCAAGACATATTACACAAAACCCTGTAAGAATATTTGGAATTCGAGTGGCGTCTAGTTCATACTCAAAAATAGATAATCATATTAAAATGCGTTGCAAATGATATTGCACTATCGGATGAGTTTGTTTACATGAGAACGTTGCCATTTAATAATAATGCAATCCCGAATATCTTAATTTCATTACAAAAGTTATTTGACCCCGTCATAGAACTCTGGACCTGATGCGTAATTGAAAAATTAATGAAGATAATAAAGAGTTTACAAATTAGGAAATAATTCACATGACGAAAGAAAACATTAATTTCCTAATTGTTTAGTAGAATCAGTCAGAACTTTGAGATTCTATAAGATTAACGAATATAGTCTTAAGATGAATTCCCTAGTGAGTTCGATTATAATATTCAAGAACATATTAAAATTGCAGAGCAAATAAAATTAGTTCTTCTCAATTTAAATTTAAATTCAAATATATAAAAAAATCAAATATAAATGAATGTAATGATTTTGCTTCAATGTATCTAATTTTTATATCTAATGAAATCTTTATCTTGCAACAAAATATGCATGATGAGTCCCACAAGTAGCTATAAGTGCCTTTCCACCATTCAATATTTATATAATGATTAAAATTTCTATAATCTCTTGAAATACATTAAAATAAATATATTTATGATAATTTATATGGTTAAATCAATATATAATCATTTATACAATTATGCTTAGTTTTATTGTTTGATGTTATATTGAAGCTAAATCATGAAAGTTAAAACATTTAAATAAAAGAGAGTAAAAGTTTAATCAAATTTTGAAAATACAATATAATAAATTAGTAACTCGTAATTTGTAACTTATAATATATAATTAAGTAACTCAAAATTTGAAAATTATTCCTACAAATAAATAGTCATTAATTATGGCCTATAAATATTTATACTTCCCAGATATAAAAATATCAAAATATCAAAAAAATTTAAGAAATATATTGAGAAATAATTATTTATATGTTAAACATAATAAATAGTCAAAAATTAAAAAAATATTGAAATTATATTAGCATGAGGTAATTAGTAAACACAAAATCTATCAAAAATTTAAATGCAAAAGTTCATATTCTGCAGTTTCATCATTCATAACAAAAAAAAGTATCACTGTTCGAAATTAAACTAATCAAATTACTTTGTGCTAACCTATTTTTATTATATTAAATAATTATTTACAATTCACTAATATATTATATGTACAAATAATACTACTTACAAGTTAACCTATCACGATTATTATATAATTTTTTTGTAAATTACAAGTTCTTTACTCGATGTCACCTCACTGTACATATGAAACAAAGATGTGACGCTCTTTATAAATTTATCACTACCTTATCTATAATCATATCACCTCACATAAATTTCATACCATGGTTGTATTTACAAAATTCAGACAGTAGTTGACAGAGATGTATTCGAAATTTGAATCATTAAATAAAAATATTTTGATAAAATTGACATGTCTCTCTTTAAAAAAATTGAATTGCTCATTTATATATATTTCTCGTTCTCGTTTGGGCATATGTAATAGTACTTACTTAATGAATATAAATAAATAATTAAATTTTTTTTAAAAAGAAATTTTTAGTTCAGAAAAATTAATTTAATAGATTTTTCTATGTTGAAATATATTTATATTTATTTAATGATCAATTTGTCGAATATTTGATTTAATGTCTAACCTAAAATATTAATTTATAATTTTTTTAGACTAATTGAATAGTTCTATTATTGAATAAAATAATCAAATTATAAAATAATATATTTTGAAAATATTAGGCAGCGTTTGAATTTTAACAATTGCAATATTTATTAATGATTATTTTTTGTTAATATGAGTAAAATTTATTATTCCTATATATTCCTTAATTAATATATAAAATCAATCACATCATACTAAATTATTAATTACCATTCAACAAAGCATTAACATCCCATGAGTATAAACTCATCACAGTATTGTCATATTAATGTTAATTAATTTATATCAAATGCAAGTAAATGATAAACATAGTATTAATACTTGTATAATAAGTTGTCAAATATCTCCCTTCCGCCTTTTTGTATTATAAACCAAGAGCAAAAAAGCGGAAGGGAGATATTTGACAACCTAATATATGCCTATTAATATATTCATTTAATCACTCAAAAACGATAAAAATATAAATATTATTATTGACAAGAATATTAATATTATTATAATATTATTATAATTATGAAAGGCAAATTTTTGATGATCAGAAAAAATCATTTGCATTATTTTGTAACTTGCATTACTTTAAATAATCTCTAGATTTTATAGGTATATTGCCAAATTATATGAATTGTATATATACTAGCAAGTTATAAAATATGTATAACTCTATTTGAATCAAAATAATATCACCTATCGTTAAATAAATTATTAATTAATTTATAATCCTTTGTAATAAAATATACTTCCAAGTCAAAATAAAAAATATTAGTAATTATCCTTTAATTACTGTATTGTTCACTTATTGGTATATATATATATATATATAATATACATTCATATAATAATGTAAGTACGTATGTATAGTACTTTTGTTTTAAATTTAATATTATGTATCATCTCTGCATACAGTTCAAAAGCTTTACTTCAGTGCTTGTATGATTAAATATGTAAAAAAATAACAAAAATGTATATGTGATTTTAGATGGTTATAATTAATACTTAACCATTCAGGCCAATGCAGAAAAGATTTGTCAGAAACTTTAAAAATAAAGGGCAATAATACAAGTGTAAAGTCAACAACGAGATGTACACTTTTTTAAACATGTCATATATAAATGGCGCTCCATCCGAAGGGGAATCCGTTGTATGAGAGCACCACATTTAACTTATCACTTTTCTTCCCCTTGTGAATATATATATATATATATATATATATATATCTATATATATTAACGCTTGTTCTCAATTGAAACAATAATTCTAAAAAATATTACAAATGAATATCAACAGATACCGTTTTTAGTTGTCTATGGGCAGCATGAACAGCATCATGAACGCTGACAAAAAGCTCCACACAGTCTTCATCTGCATTGCAACATTTTTGTATGGTTTCAAAAACATTACCTTGAAAAAAAAAATCATTCCATTCATAATTTATGAAACAAAAATAAATATTAATACTACATTATTTCAATAAAACCCTGAGAAATTATATTGATGAGATTCAAGCAACTTTTTATTTGATTATCTACCCAATTAATAATAAACTGTAAACGATAATTTTAAAAATTTTAATTTATCTCTCATATACTAGTAAATCAAAAAAATTATTAATAAATATATTACATTATTACTTACAATTATCCCGTTTTTTTTAAATTTAATTTAACTATTTAATAAATAATATATTGTTATCGATAACCTCAATAATTTAAGTTTTGAATTCATAGTTCGAATTCACTTTCTTATGTTTAAAAATATTGCATTATTAAATTCTGAAAAATATTGGTTGTAGATACTCATCTACCTATAATATATTTCACTGATTTAAAATACTTTATGATTAGAATCTAATCTTTTTAATTAAATTTTCATAGCATTCTGCAAGAATTAAAATATAATTTCCTTTGCATGTATATATTGTGCAGTATTATACAGAATTACTTTAGTTAATTAAAAAATAATTCAGCGATTTATATTCGGCTGTGTGATAATGTATTATGAGAAAAACCAATAAATTTAATTCAAGCTGACTGTGCTAAGAAGGATATAGAAAATAGCACTAACAAGATTAAGATATTATAATACAATATTGATTTTTTTCAAGTTCGTATCAGGTCATAGGACTATATGGAAGAATGATTATGTGTGTCATAGCAAAAATAGGGTTAAGTAATTTAAATATCACAAGGTACTTGAAATTAATAAAATTTTACATTCTAATTATAAGATGATACTTACATGGACAGCTGGCCAAGTATAAAGAAATTCCACATTCAGAAAATTGTTTTGACAAAGCTTTTAATTCTTTGGCAGCTGATGGATCGATGTACATGACTGCAGAAAAATCTACCACAATGCAGGAGAGATCCTAAAATGGTAAAATTATTTTTTTAATAATCTTCTCCAGCATCTTTATTAATTTTTCTTTGAGTCTATGTAAAAGTTCATAATGCATCATAATCCTACGTTCGAAATGTATATCTAAAATAGAAATTAAGTTCATATGTTTCAGAAAAAAATTTCTATATTTTTGCATTTCTTTTTACTCTCAATCTTTTCTGAAATTTAAATGTTGATAGATAGTTTTAATTTAATTTAAAATTATCGTATATTTTAATTTTCACGTGTTTAAGAAGTATTTTCCAAAAAAGTGATTGAAATCTCCACACTATTGTATTACAAATTTTAACATGTCATGTAATAAATAATGGCAACGTTTAAATTTTCCTGATCAGAATATTATCTTATAATGATAATAAATCTGATTATCACGTGTCATAAGATATCATATTAAATCTATATCTTTTAATTTTGAATAATCTAATGTCATTAATGTCGGATTGCTGATATATATTGTAATATCAATCTAATTAAGTTTAAAAATTTTAATTAATAAAATATTAGATTTTGATATGTAGATATATTTAAAAATCATAATTGATGATATGATTAAAAATAATTGGCCTTGTATGTAGAAAGTTATTATTTGTGTTAAAAATTAGAATGTTTTTCAGACTAATAAAATGTATATAAATACTACTTGAAATAAGGTTTCCAAAAATGCAGGTATAAACGTGGAACTTTGTGAAATAAATATGATGAGCTTACCCTCCAATCTGAAGATTCTATATTACTATTACTATCACTGATGGCATTTTTCTTGCAATTAATCTTGGAAGGATCACAATCGACCATTCGACATAAAGTCGATCGGAAATGTTGTTTTGTTGCAAAAATTTAAACCACCAGAATAATGGAATACTCGAACACCTTTTGGATGTTCCGTCTACAAAAAAAATATAAAATACATAAATTTGTTTTATATTTGATAATTTTGTATTTTGTTCTACTTACTCCTTTATATCTTGTCATGTCCAGATATAAGTCTGTATTAGGTACATTGCCTAATAAACATGCATATGGTTTCAATCCACGAATTATTAAACTCATTAGGGAAAGTCCAGTTCCCACAAAAAGACCTATAAAAACAAACAATATATATATATTTAGTGTGATTTACTTTTATACAGATCATAAGATGATATTTATTATTTAATTACATCATTGATTGATAATTTATTAGTAGAATGTTATATAATTATATGAGTAGGTTGATGACTATTATTCTTGATGGATCTTTAGCAGTTTACCGTACTTCTAATAATGATGAAATAAATTTCTACTTTATATGATAGTTTATCAAGAAAATTATTCATTAGTATAATAATACTAATACAATTTATTCAATACATTTAATACTAGTGCAATTTATTTAATATTGCAAAAATTTTATACGAACCTATGTAAAAATCAATGTATGTATTTAAGTCAAATAAAGCAAATTTTCAAATTAATTTAATTAATTATACGAACCAATGTCAATACTGACTAGTACCACAGTTAAAAATGTTGCCATCCAAACAAATGCATCAATGTAGCTGTATCTCATAAATCTTCGGAATTCCAGAACTTGTTTCAACATTCCTTTTAGTGCAACGACGATTATAGATGCCAAAACACACTAGAAATATATTTATATTAAGAAAATTTTAAATAAGATGTCATACATTACTTCAATTTGCACTAATTGTTGATACTAATATTAGAGGATTGATCATAAAATACTTGTTATACATAGAAGTGTATTGCAATGTATGAACATCTTTAACAAAATTTGACATAATGGTTTATTATTAAGTGCATATTATTTGTTTGCAATCAAAATTTTAATATTTAAGTTATTTTAAAATAAATCTAACATTTTAATGGTTTTCTTACAATATTTAAAATCTACAACTTTATTCTAAATCATGAAAAAATATTTATATATTGATATTATTTTACCTTAGGTAATGGTTCAAAAAATGGGCCAATCCACAAGAGTACAAACACTAGTAAGGAACAAGAAATCAAGGATGTAAGTTGAGTTTGTCCTCCTACAGAATGTTGAATCGTAGATCGAGAAATTGAGGCAGCAAATGGCATGCATCCGAAAAATGAACCAAACACATTACCAACGCCCTATAATAATAAATAAATTGTAAAAAAACGTAATAATAAGTAGTAAAATAATGTGCATGCAATAAGATTCCTATAACTAGTATAATATCTGTAGAGACTTACAGACTAAAAGTTGTAAGTTAGAAAATACTCCTGGTTACTTCTACATGACTAATTCATCAAGGCACAAATTATAAACAAAAACTATTTTTTTATTCAAAATAAATTAGATGAAAAACTATTATTTTATACAAACACATCTTTTTAAAACCAAAAAATAAATAATTATTTATTTTTTGTAATGTAGTTATGTAGTATTGGTGTTATCTTTGTGATAATTTTATTGATTAAGAGTTACTTCTGAAAAACTTCAAAAAACTCATTGCACTGTTGTTACCTCGATTACTGAAAGACTTTACAAGACAACTTATTTAAATTAAAAAAAGGAATAAAAGATATGACAAATTTATAGTTGGAGTATAATACCCTAGGATATGAAACATTGTAAACATTTTGTGGATGGTTCCTATATATTGAAATATATCTTCTTGTCTGCCTCCTCTGTTTTTTTTTTAATGACAACTTTATCCCCCAAATTTTCACATTTTTATTATTTCTCAATATTTTATAAAAAGTTATATTATTACCTGAGCTAAAAGTTCTTGATTGGCGTGAACGCGGTAGCCGATTCTTTGGGCGAATATTAAAGCCATGGAAAACGATATCGCATATGAAACCACGGCGATGGCGATTGCATCGATCGCTACTTTTCCCATAAGATCAGCTGAAGGAACAGTAGGTTCTGGTAAACTAGATGAAAAATAAGAAAAATATTAGGAAGTATAAAAATATTATGTTGAGGTTATAAAATCCAATTTTTTACTAAATTATTTACATTAATTACTATTATAATACTAATCATTTACATATTTTTAAGATTTCAGAAAATAATACAATAACCTTGCATATTTGTTCAATATTGGTAATTGTCTTTTTGATTAAAATCGATTACTAAATTGAATTGGTTGATCAATTTAATAATTGCTTAGGTCAGCTGATGCCATCAATATTTCCAGAAGATACTGGTTTCTATAAAACCAAACTTACCATATTTCTTTAATGTATTCAATATTATCAATAAATTTGGATTATTGGAAAACTTGATAGATCCAGTTTACACCAAAGAATTTTCCATGAAGAAATGAGTATTAGTTTAATAATTAATTATCTTAAAAATACTGTTTTCGAATATAAATGCTTTTACAAATATTTATTCATCTTATCTGCACAATTTTATCCTTGTAACAAATTTTAATGACTTGCATAATTTTGCTATTTGGAATTAGTCCAAAATTTGCATACGGCTAGACAATGAGGTGGTAATTTAGACGTCATGGATGTGTAAAGAATATAAACGTATAAAAAATTATTTACTTTTATGTGATTAAGAAGAAAAGAGAAAACAATTATGGTGCATGATGAGTTGGGTATGTTCAATCTTTCACATTTTTATAAAATATCTGTGATTGATTAACATAAAATATATGGCAATTATTATTAATATATATAGATAATATTTTTAACATATATAATCCAATTAAGTTATAATATGACATTAAAATATATTACCCAGTAGGAATTTCGCCAACAGTTGGTATATGATATTTTTCACGAAGTTCTCCATATCGTGATGCTAAAGTTCCACTGACGACAACTATAAGTTCAATTGGTACAGGAACTTTGCAAACCTTTGCTAATCTTGGCTAAAAATAATTGTTATATTTTTGTTTAATAAACAAGTAGTTCATACTGGCAAATAACCATGTCAAATGTTCTGATTGATTTTCAAGTTCTACTGTTCTCTTAGAATAAATAAGCAACCTCTTTTTAATTTTGCTTATTTTATATTATTATTTTATCTCATTGTAATTTTAGAATATTTGATCGCTTGAGCTAACAATTTTATATAAAAATTATCAATTAGCTAATATTTAATAATTTAACATTATATTTATATATATAATTAATAGCATTGTTTTTTACTCTTTTCAATCGAAAAACTTGATGTTTAGATCCTTATCAAAACAAGCAATATAATTGCAGTTATTTTAACTAAAACATCACTTACCTTAATTATTTCATTGTTTATCAATAAAATAATTATAGTAATCGACGATATAATTACTGCTGTCCAATTAAGATTTTGTACGTTACTGAATATATCTATATAGCTCTGTAAACAAATTGAAACAATTAAAATAATATCCGACAATTATCTAATATGTTGTTTTTTCTTACGTGTATGACTTGAAATTGTGGTTCGTCTTCGGGGGCTCCTTTGAGACCTAACAAACCATTAATTTGAGAAGTTAAGACATGAATAGCTGCGCCGGTTGTGAATCCAGAAATTAAAGTTTCAGAGAGCAATGAGGTCACTACACCTAGTCTCAGAAAATACATTGCAAGCTGTAAGAAATTGAATTAAATAGTATAAATAGTATTTTTGAAGTATGATTTAAATTATTAATATGCAAATAATATTATTAGATAATTTTCTGACCTGATACACCCCGCACATGAAACATAGTGCAACGGCGATTTCTACTTCGCTGTACTCTGCGCTTTTGTACTTGAGAACAATTTGACCCACCATAAGACAAATTACAGCGAAAGACCCTTAAAATTATAAAACATTAAATATTTCTTAAAATAATCAGTATTTATTATTTTACATTATGAAGTACAAAGTATCGTTAAGAAAGCAATATTTTTTTTATAAATAAGTTAGAGCAGAATTTGCTTCAATAAAGACATAAAATTTTATGAAAAGTCATTTATTAATTTGTGCTGAAAAGACTTTTTATATATATATGCACACCTCAAAGGAATAAATAAATCAAGGATTTTAATTATTTTCTCTTGGAAGACGTCGTTTTATTGAGTTTTTCTTGTTGTATTAACTTTGTGGCAATATTATCAATTTTTCTCAAATTTTTGACATTCTAAAATTTAATTTAAATTCTCAATCAACAATCTTTTCATATTAAGTGTTTTTAAGGTTTTAATGAGCTTTTTTAGGATTTGAAGATTTAAAACAAAATAATTAAAAAAAAATAAAAATAAGAAAGAACGTAATAAGTGCTCCCTGTAAATGATAAATTATTTTGAATTTAATAAAAAAAGAATTTATGGACAAATTTTTGTTTGCAGAAATTCATATTTATACCCATTAATACAAATTAATGAATTAAGAAGTGAAGTATAAATTTGTATATTTTCTACTATAAGGGGAGTAATAGTCATTTGTAAAGTCTAATTTGTCTAGAAATTAATTAAGCAAGTAAATTGGTTAGATCATATTGTGATAGTGTATTTAATAATAGATTTTTCATGTTCTTTGAAAATTCCCACATAATTATCATAAATTACACAATCAGCATAATCACCAAAAATATCTAATGTTAGAATTACTATCCTGAGTATTTATCAAGAAAAACCGAATCATTACGTCAAATTTGCACAATGCTTGGAGATGATAACAATTTGAAATTTACATTGTCCAATATTACTTGTCACTGTGCGAAATAGGAATTTCTAATTATTTACACAGCTGTTGAAACATTGTGAAATGGAACTATTCTATTTGATTTTGCATAAAATATATTACTAAGAATACGGAAGCTGCCGGTAGTACTACACAAATAACCTCTCAGACTATAAATAAAAAATATATGTGTTAAATAATTATACGAAGAATTATTTTTATTATTGTGTTAAATCTTTAAATCAGCACTTTACTTAATTTTTCAAGTATCCTTAACTATTTTCATATACAAACTTTAAGTAAGTTACTTAAAATCGTGTATCAGTGTAGCTTATTTTCAACTAACAATAAGACATATATTTACTCAATTTGCTAATAATATTCTGATAAGCGAGTTATATATCAGAATATGCAAATAAATAAGATTTGCAGAAACATTTCGTCATTTAATCAAATAAATTAATTTATTTCTTACCCATTGAGTTATGTCTCCCAGTTCCCAGAAGAAAATATATTAATACAGGAAAGAAGGCTGTATATATTCCAACAATGGGTGGTAGATTTCCCAGCAAAGCATAGCCCATACCTTGAAAATAATATGAAGAATAGAAAACTTTCCTTAAAAATAAAAGCCAAAAACAAAAAGACGTGCCTCTCTCAAAATATTAATGTTAATCCTTAATATACTGAGGGGGTAATATTTTTTCACAGTACACCAAAAATTAAATCATTTTTTCTGACTAAATTATAATAAATAAAAATAAATTATAATAGAATATATATTATAAAGAATTATAATAAATTAAAAATAAAATTATTATAATTAATTAAAGAGCAAACAAATTTCTAAGAAATTTCATTTCTATAAGTTCCGAATGATTAATAATTTTAAGTTCTCTAATTCCTATTTGTTTTATTTATTGGTTTGTTTAGTCATCAAGGCTGATTAATAAAAATAAAAAATAAACTTTTTTTTTTTAAATTAAACTTTACTCGTAACAAAATGTTTAAACGATTCCTTATAATTAAATTCATAATCTTATGGTTATCAAAAATAAAAATAACATTTTTTTCTTAACCCATTTAAAATTATTTTATTCAATTGCCAGATAATCAACTTATCAAACGAATAATATTTAAATTACTAGTTCAGCTAATATAATTAAATAGTTTTATACCAGATTTTAATTATCATCAAGATTGAAAAATCATTTAATTCAACATATGTCACCATGTATAAATCATACATAATTATAACAGTATTTATATAATCGCATTAGCATTGAGAAATCTTAACAACAGAGTTAATATTCTGATAGAATGTAAAGCTAATCAATTCGCAATCAATTCGTCAAATGATTGATGGAGATTTCAGCACAATCGTTGATAATTTTTCACATATTTTTATAGATTAGGCATTAATGCCAAGGTCTTCAAAGTACATATATTTGTCCCATGGTGATATCGATCAAGGCACGCTATCCAAAGTCTCTTTAAAAAATAGACATTTGCGGATAATTTTCGCTTTTTGTGCGCGATTACTACGTTTATATTGTCAATTGACAATGATCCCGATACGGTTTTTATATAATATGCGAATAAGGTTAAATAATAGTCTCTTGAATAGATTTTTTGAATAGAGGCTTTTGTATCAGATATTTATTTGACACATATTCTATATATGGAAGAGCTTAAAATAATAATGAAGGTTTTTCATTGGCAACGTTTCAAAAGTCAGTGAAAATTCCCCCATGGGATAATGAAATATTGTGATGGATGATTTACAAAATGACAATGAAAATAAAAATTCTACTTCTATTTATATTTATTACTCTTCAGTGATTCAAAGCAGGTTTTAAATTTTTGATCAATTCGCCTTTTTGCTATAGAAGGCTATAGAAGCAGAAAGAAAATAAAAAGACTTTTATTTTATACTATATTCTGAATAAATCTGTAATCAATTTACTAATTGTAAGAGAAAAGAATTTTTTGGAGAAGCCTTGCATTTGCATCGAAATCATAATAATAACATTAACAAATTAATTAAGTGGTATTTTGTTATACATTATTATACACTTACTGTTTCCAATGTTGGTGTCAACGATTCAGAATGACTTAAAAATCGTGAAAAAATAAAATCAGGGTGAAGAAATTTTATGACAAATACAAAATTCTAAGGTTTATAAAATGACTAAAGTTTAGAAACTAACGACGGACAAGTTAAAAATACCATATTCACAAAATAGTGACTGTTTGAAAAAAAGAATTACTACTAATTTTGATATTCTCGATTTTTTTTAAAAATAGTAAAAATCGAAAATACATACTAATGAGAAGTCTATAAAAAAGACTGTAAAAATTTCAAGTACATCGATCCAGTAGAAGTTAAAAAATCGTAAAAACTTTAATCTGCGTTTAAAGTTTCACAGAGGAAGAAAAGAGAGAAGGAATTTCATGGTTAAAGAACTATATCTCTGAAAATAATTAAAATTTTGAAAAATACTCTTGTACACATTCTTGAATAGTTAAACTTTGCAGATATCAAAAAATTGTTTTCTGTAAATTTCTGGACTAGAATACCCCCTTTAAATTCATAATCATATCACGCAGTATTTTATTAATTTTTCAAATTTTCAAGCACAAAATTCAATTTAAAACTACGATTTTCAGTATATCTATGAAATTTTTTTGAAAGTTCGTCAAGATATTCCTCTGATGTGCAACTGACAATTAGTTATATTATTATTACCTTGTGGAATGTGCATGATGGCAACTGTGACCCCGGAAACAATATCGCCGATCAGCAAAGTCTTGAAGTCGTACTTCGGCAACCAACTGAGGATGGGAATTAGGCTTGAAAGGGTTTTCCACACACCTCCTCCACAACATTTTGTTGTCGCTTCTTTGCATACTAATAAAATAAAAAAAAAATATATTATACACAAATGGAAATAAGCAAAATTTAAGTCCAATAAATAAATATTAGTTGGTAAAATATAAAAAAATAATACATTGTAAATCTAAGGAAATAAATGATAATTAATTATATAATATAATATAACCTAAATCAAAATGAAAAAGCATAGTGTTTGCAAAAGCATTTTTTTCATTAAATGAAAATTCAAAAATATAATTTTTAAACCGATACGTTAATGCAATTTAATTATGAAATACAATTAACACAAACAAAAATTTAATAATAAAAATGATAAAAAACATAAAATATATACATACCTACAAAAATAAATAAAAATGTAATATATTAATTTAACCCAAGTAAACATGCTTTAGCACAAATGCACATTCATTTTTTTGCTTAGTCAATGATCAATTTTTTATAATTATAATTAAGAAAATTAATTATAATTATTTATAATTTGGTTTAAACGTTTCCCAATTCTTCTCTAGATAAATACTTATAACAAACTACAAAAAATAATAATAGTTTTACTGAATGAAGTTAAGTGTAAAAGCATTTAATAACTAATTAAAATATTATTCTATCTCACTTTTTAAACTTATTAAAATATTTAGATCAGACATTTTATCTTGCAACTTGTTCATCAATATTCTCATAATATTATTTACTACGACATTGAAATTTTGTTTAAAATTTTAAAATACAAAATTGGAACTAGCAGTGTTAGCATCGTGCCTTGAGGCAAATTGCTAGAACATCCCGTACCGAATTAAAATTTTGAAAATCCGAATTATTTTCGATATCTAAAAAAACTCGATTTCTATTTTCTGCACTCTTTGCTTCGTAACTCCAAAACGGCTGGAGCGACTTTTGCCAAAATCTAATCAGCACATCTTCCTATCAATAGGAATCGAATGTTCTTTGAAACATTCAATTCGGTTGATCTGTTCGACCGAAAACATGGACGAAAAATTTTATCCAGGTATGCCAAAATGCTCAGAAACTTTGAAAACTACAAACTAACCATACGGAAAGTTAATAAATCATTTTCCGAATGCTTAAAATTAAAATTAAATTTGTTACGCCAATTGTTCGCATAATATTTTATTTGTAAAGTTTTGTTTTTTTTTATTTAATGATAAAATAAAAATGATTCTATAAGTTGTTATCAGTAAGGCAGTATCAAATTTTCTTGTATTATTCATTTAATTAAAATGGTGGTTTCTGATCAAAATTAATAGATTACATAAAGAAATTGATTTTTGAGCGAATAATTAATCTCTATTAAATCTAAATTAAAATTTCTGAAAGTCTTATATTTATTGTGTAAGGCAGATGATAATTAATGAAGAGAAAAAAAATTTAAAAATTCTAATCTTATTCACCTAAAATTGTCTACCATATGTCTTAATCAATGAATTTAAAAATATATTAAATACAATAGTTATTTATGGAGCAAATTAACCAACTCATTTACGAATCGTGTACACAAGTGTGGAAATTTGCGCAATTAATTTTGCTCTGTAATGATTATGACGTAGTACTCGAAAATAAATTAAATCTACATATCTTTGTTGCTTTTTGGAAACTGATAAAACAAAAGTTTATGAGATCAAATCAAGATCAAGTACACTTGTTTGTTAATTTGTTTATATGATTTTCTGTTTAGTCACAAATATTTATTTATTAAAAATAGACTATTGTTTAATGAATCACGTTTAAGATTAGATTATGAAAACTAAACCACTTGGTTTAAGTGGCATTTTATTTTAAGACAAATTGCATGAACTTCTCGGTAAAAGTACATATTAGAATTAATAAGAATTGATATGTGCAAACTATGATAATAAACCACTTTTCATAGGACTATAATTTTAGGATGTTTTCGATGACCATGAACACAACCCAGCCGATCTTCACCAAAACTAGTGGTATATGGCATCATGCCTTAAGGCCTTAAGGCAAATTGCTGAAACTTCTCGTACCATAATGAAATATTCGAAAAATAAAATTTAGTAAAAAAAAATATTTCTTGAAATTAAAAAAAAAAATTAAAAAAGATTTTGTTCCCAAAAGCAATCATTTCGACAACACAAGCGGAAAGTTTTTTGAATCATTCAAATCGGATGCTTAGTTCTATTTATTAGCTTATTTATTAGCTTTGGATCTTCGAAACGGCTAGACCTGGCTTTACCAAAATCTAATCACCCCATCAATACAAATTCAATATTTTTTGGACCATTCAAATCAGATGTATCGTTATCTCAGAAACACGATTTTAATTTTCTGCACTCCTTGCTCCGTATCACGAAAACGGCTGGACCTGTCTTTGCTAAAAACTAAAAAGCACATCTCCCTATCAATAGAAATCAAATATTTTTTAACCATTCAAATCGTGGATTTACGAAAACGTGGATTGCCAACTGACCTCTTTCGTTGTCGAATTTTCAAAATTGGCTCGAGATTTTTTGCAAAACCGCTTACAAAAAATGCTGCACTTATCTGATAGTGAGAAAAAACGAATCGGCCCTTCTTTGCGCAACCGTTTTCGGAAACATCCACAAAAATGGAATTTTGCTCACGTGCACACACACTTTTTTCAATTTTGGTGTCAAAAGATTTAAAATATCTTAAGACGCGAAGAAAACATAAAATTACCAAGTCGGATTTTTTTGGAGTGAACAAACTTTTACGAGAAGTTAAAAAACATAAGGTTTTGAAAAAGATACTGGACCTTCTGACTACGTCTACAATTGTGTATTACATTACTTCGCACTATTGTCTTATATCAACTTAATCCAAACAAACTTAACGACTGCAGTCATCTGAGATTTTCTGAATTGTCGTTTATCGCATTTAATTAGGTTAAAACGATTTCGTAATTGTTTTTGTTTTTGTCGCGTCTTTGCGCTCATACATCGCATAAAACATACACAGTCCATTGGTTTCTGCATAGATTTATAAATGTTACATCACAGCTGGAATCAGGTGAAAGTCATTAACGCTTTACCTGCAGAATCAATCTGTTCTCGTAGGTTTATTAAGTTTATGTTAATAAGAGTGACTCACAGATTTATTAATTGATCAGTGCCAGTATGGGCTGAATAGTGGCTAAGGACGAGTTCACACCGTCTTGATTCAATGACCGATTAGAGAACTTTAATTTCGTGACACTATTTATTTTAAAAAAGTAAGCTATTTTATTAGAAAATACTTTATATACGTGTTTATAAATATATATATATATATATATATATATTTATTTATTTATTTATTTATTTATTCAATTATTGAACTTGATACCTTCTTCGACGTTGGAACATATTTATATTAGGTTATACGAGGTTGTAAAGACATATACGACAAATTGAAAAAATTCAATAAATATAATTTTGTTTATTTTATACTTGAGTTACAATAAATTCTTAGAGTTACAAAACTAAGAATAAATCAGTAATAACAAAATATATATAAATTACATAAAAAACTAGTGGTACATGGCATCGTACCTTAAGGCAAATTGCTGAAACTTCCCGTAATCAAAATTAAGATTTTTGAAAAACCTTTAAGTTATTTTGAAAACTTTGAAAAAAGAAATTTTTGAGAATATAAGAATTTTTGGAAAAAATTAACTTTCTGAAAAATTTGCATCCGCACACACACACATTCATACATCCAATTTTTCCAAGGTATGCCAAAATCTTCAGAAACCTCTGAAACGTAAAGATGTATAAAAATCTACATTTTCGATTTTTTGCTATTACTATAACTTACCCTATGGAAAGCTAATAATTAAAATTAAAATGAAAAATAATAATTACCAATCAGCAAAAAAATTTCAAAAAAAATTAGTGCAAACAAAACACATCGATATACAAATTTTTGTTTTTGAATTTAAAAAAATGTAAAGTACATCTGAATGGATTATATAACTTATGAAAATTTAAATTAAATTGTTATTCAACTAATTAATTTAATTTAGTTTGACAATAAATCAATAGCAGAGAAAACGTAAGGTTAAATATTAAGAAATATATAGATACATCAGCTTTAGATACATACGTTTTAAAGAAAGGATTGGTTTTCTTAACTACAAATTTTTAATATATAAATTAAGATTCTGCAAAATTATTATTACTATACTATTTATATATTATCTTGTTGTTACTATATTTATTCATTATATTAAGTACTTCTATTTGACTGAACGCAGTGTATTTGTGTACCAAAAATAGATAACTAAAAAATAGTAATAAGGAATCTCGAATTTTAAGATTACTCCTTAAATATTTACTTTACATTTACATATTAGTTATTTAGCATGAGTACTTAATATATATGAGTCGCATATTGTTAGACGTAAAGTTTAAATATATGTGCATGTACATACTATTTTAAACTATTAAAATATTTTTGAAATATCAACATATATTTGCTTATAAAAATGCCAAATCTTCATTAGTATTTAAAATCGTAAATGAAAATTATTAAAACAGAAAAATAGCGTATTACTGCATCATTCTGCATTACTCATTTTGATTATATAACAATATTTAGAATTTCTAAACAGTCAAACATTTAACGTTATGTTAGTTAAATACTACTATACCATAACTAATTAATAAATAAGAAAGTGCACAAGCGGTTAATCTTTCACAACTTTTAGTAATTAAAATTATATTTTAATTACTGAATGACTCTCGGAGACAGATTGTATTTTACACGATAATAAAAAGATGTGAATTAAGCAAAATAGTAGTAATATTGATAAGTATTAATAAAATACAACTTACTGTTTCTCTTTGGTTTTGAGTATTCTGCTTTTTCATTAAGTCTCCATTGCGGATAGTGAGGTCGTTCCACTCTTAGTGAACCTCTGACCTCAGTACCAAAACCTCCCACCGGAGCACCCAGCGAGTTCCTCGAAGTCATCTTGATTTGTCTTCAGTAACTTCATAAAAAATATCGTACAAAATTTTAAATATATATATATATATATATATATATATATATATATATATATATATATATATATACAGTGTAGGGCAGAGCACAATGGTCATTTTGACATTGAGCAATTAGATTGAGAAAAACCATACTAATATATTATATCAAACCAAACTAATTATATCTCAACAAATAAAACATATCAAACAAACAACTACCTGATGTTCAGTACAACACCCAGCTGATTCATCTTTGTAAAAATGTGTTTTTCGCTTTTTTTCAAAAATTTGTAAACTCGTCCTTTTAACCCCATAAGCCATATAAATTGGGACGACCAGGGGGCAAACAAGTCCAATATCAAATTTCAATTTTAAATGCATTTTTCGAAATCATAGCTTCATTATTCAACCAATGCGAAATAAAATCTTTATGGGTGCATTTTTTACAGAGATAGCACTGTAAACTACCTTGATCTAGTATTTTGCCAGAAAGATGTATCAGCAGAGTTGGAATAACTATTTATTTAATTTATCTCTTGTAAAATTGTTTTTTTTTTTTAATTCACTATTTTATTTGATATTTTTTATTTTTTACACCTATGTCAGGGTAAAGTTTCAGTTGGTTCTTTTTCCTCTACCCACGTGTAAGATTTCGTAGAAGTTATATAAAAAAAATCTGATAAATCTAACTTAAAATTTACAATACATCTTTTAAAACAGTTAAATAACGTATACTTAAAATTATAAAGAGAACTTGTAATCTAAGCAACACAGTGCTCGCAATCAAAAAAACTAATAAAAAAAACAAAAATTACTTTCTGATATAGATTTCAAACATTACTGTTTTTCTCC